GTTATGATTTTACTAATTAAAATCTTGTGTAACAATAGCTCGGAGGGTCATTTTGTTAGCAAAAGCCCCATATATTGTAATGAATCTAAAAATACTACTCTCAAAAAAAGCGTAGATTTGGCTATTAAGTATTTTTTATTACTCAAGTTCCTTTTAAGATCTTTGAAAATATAGTGCTTATATACTATTTACTATATCTACTAAATATGCTTTATCTACTAAATATGCTATATCTGCTAAATCTACCTGATCTACTAATTATGCTAAATCTACTACTTCTGATATTACTATTATATACCAACCCTAAACAAATATATGATCGATTGCCTAATTTGGTTATTAATCTAACAATGATCGATTTCTATTTGTGATATTTTCCTCCACTTAACTTGTTCATTTTATAAACTATACAAAGTCACCAAGATCATTTTCATTTCGCTTATGTCATTCTTGATTATCCTTTTAAATTCATTTACTCTTTTTATTCAAGAATTATATGTATTATTTAAGTTAATGGGTTCTTGGTAATAACTGAATGCTTTTTGTCTGTTTATTTTAATTCCAATCCCATTTTGATAACAGCATCTAGCATAGAATGTTCTATTAATTTTCTATACTTGCAAATTTTTGATAATATAAGAATGCCTTATGTTTATTTTCAATTCCAATTTCATATTGATAACAATTATTGAAGAACTCATGTCTTGCGTCATACATGTTATTACTGGTATCCAAATCAGTATCACCATCAAGTTCAAAAGCTTCAGCACTATCTAGTTTGTTTCTATAACAACTATCTTTAAATGTTTCTTCTAAGTCATCAGTATTAGCTGATCTTTGATAATAAGTAAACACCTTATATTCATCATTTTCAGATCTGATTTTATTTTGATAATGTCATTCAAGATTGTTGGTTCTGCCAGTTTGTTCTATTTCTGTCAATTTTTTATGATATATGATTATCTTATATATGACTTTTTTAGCTTTCTCAAAATTTTTATTATTTGCTTCATTGTTATTTCCATCATGATCAGCTTTGCTATTACTTCTATTAACAGATTTGATATTTTCAATTTCCTTTAATTTGGATATCCAAGCTTTTAAGGATTCCAAGTAACAGTAAATCAGATTCTCCAAATCTGCACCTTCATTATTCTCCTCAACTTTAACACCGCTTTCTTTGTCAGGTTCAAGATTGCAGAAATTATCTAAGTAAGTTTCGTATTCAAAGCCTTTTTTTCTTTATAATCAACTTTAAGCATTCTATTAGAAATTTCCATCTCAGGAGGTTCCTGATAGTAGGTAGATACCTTATGATTATCCTTTTTTATTCTAGTTTCTTTTTCATAGCAATATCCATCCTTATATATTCCATCAGCATGGCTTGTCTCTGCTGGTTTTTGATGATATCTGAATGCTCTCCTTTCATTAAGGCCTTTAGGTTTGTATTTAATCTTTTTCTTAACATTTGAGTTACTTTGACTGATTGCATTAATGTTTTTTATTCTCTTTTCTTTTGATTTATTTCTTTCAATATTCTATTGATTATCTCTTTTTTTATATTCTTTGATGTTATCATTCGCATCTATGAACCTTATAAACTTTATATCCTTTACTTCATACCCTACGTTTACAACATCATTGCCCTTGAACTTTACCATTTCAAAATCATCACTGTTCATTTTCACCTCCAAATTCATTTCTATAAACATTATACGATCATTCAGTAAATTCTATTTCGATTCCTGTTCTAACAACTTGACTAATTTTGTGACTATAGATATTCAAGTTTGTATCCTTTTTTTCTTTTTTGTCTTCTCAGATTTTGTTTGTAGTGGACATGACTAGGCATAATGTCCTTTCTTTCGATATTTGTAACACAAGCCTAATCTATAATAGTATTTTCTTTGTATTATCGAATTCTTTTCCAATTCTACATACTCTACTTCGAACTCTTCATTATTTGATTCTTTTTTCCAAGCTTTAAGCTCTGATCTTTGACATTCGTAACATATTTGGGGCTTGAAACATCAGTATTCAACTTGTAATGTTTTGACATCCTTGACTAATTTATTAATTACTTCTACAATCATTTTCATCAGTATAACTATGTTTTTCTGGTCTTTTATCTTTTGTTTACCAGTTTCAGAAGTGTTCTTTACTTTGTTTGTCGTTTGTTTTTTTTTTTTTTTTTTTTTTTTACACACTTTGTTCACCAATATTTGACACCCTATCTGCCACAAGACCCTTAGTATAATACTGATTTTTGCTTTCTTAGTACTTGTAGCCTATAG